AACGAGAATAGGTGATAACAAACATTCATACAATCTAAATGGAGTCAGATTCACGGGCCACTAAAGTGGTGAGCCCGCCGACGACGAACGCAACGCAGCAAGCTACGTCGATGAAGGCACTTCTGCACTCTATACGTTCGACGAACATATTCAGCGAAGCCAGCGCAATCTCCAATCCGACGCAATCAGCACAGCCTGTGCAACATGACATGGACATGCTCAAGTCGTATTATCTTATCGATACTTTGTCCTCATGTCAATTATCCTCATTGATACATTTTTCGGATTGTCCCATTACGATTCAAATTATCATTATATGCTTATTATTACATTATTATCAATATCATGACCGAATGTGGAATTATTAATCTTGTTCGTGCTGTCATTAAATTATGACATTTTCGCAATCATATTACTCACCGAACAAATTATCATTTTATGAAAATTCCACTCCAGTTTGTGAGAACTCATTAGGATATTTTTACTATTCAAAAACGTGAAATTTTCCTGCTTTAAGTGAGTTCGTTCCAATTTTTTTTCATGTCATTTTGATCTAATATTACATTCATTCACTTAGTCGAGGTCCGCAATTTATGTTATCACAACATACATTTTTCATTTCGAAATCGCCTCCTATTATGTCTGTGGATGCTTCTGACTAGCTGATTAGTAACCATTACGCTCATTTTATCTATTCTTCCACGTGCATAACTACATTCTGCATCACTTATCACTCGAAAACGCTATTCGAGTACTGCAACTACTATTCTATACCCATCGCTCGGTATATCAGAACATAGAGTTTAGAGCTAGCCTCTCAAAGATACACTCTTGTTCGTCACATCCAAGTCAGTCTCATGCGTCGCCATCACTAATCATATGTATTGGTATTTCTGTCATGCCTTGGTACGGTTTTGTAACAAACGAGATCGAGCGCATCTCCCTCAAACCACACAAACCACTCTAGGCTTCATGACCAAAAAGGAATACGACTCTACGTACCTTGTCTACTCAGTCACTATTCTGTTCCTCTGGTCATTCTTCTACTAATACATATTCAACGATGACTCGGTGCATTTGTCACAACGCAGACAACAACATCCACTGACTTCAAATTTTATGATTATTATCAATTGCAGTACAGCAACGAATATCACCCATCGATGCAGATATCATTTCACGACTTTCCTATTATCATCCTACGCATTTAAATTCGAATTCACTCATTGCTAGTCGATGCTATTTATTCTGCTGCGGCTCAACAGAACATATATTTCGCATATTTCACTATTTTGTCAGCATCACAGACCAATTTCTGTCATATTCTACTCTAGCCATTTTGACGATTTATTTCGCTGTTATACCCACAAACAATTTATCACTACTTTCACAATATTTTGAATCGCTCATACGAACGTGTTATTTTATCGTTCAGACAGTCATAGCATTAGTACATGTTAATTTTTTGTACGCTCATTAATTTGCTCATATTCGCATGCTAACGTTTCCATTTTTGTCCGAGCCTTTGCGATATTCATGTATTCTTTTGCATAAGCATGACATTTTCATATAATACACTCACCCCTCATGTGACACTGTACTTTATCGAGTGTTGTACAATTTTTTGGCTACTTATTGTTAACGTTAACTTCATATCACTTCAGTGTTATTTTCGAAAACAGACATTTTTTAAATGTGCTATTTTCTACGAGGGGGCTATGTAGTGTCAGTTATTATGGCAAGCCCATATACCTTATTCTAACTTCCGGACATCCTATTTTATTCATTTTACTTGAGCCATATTTTGACCTTGTCAATTATTCGCTTGTCAGTCTTGACTGTTTTTTTTATATGAGCGTATATGAGTGTACATTTCATGTCACATGATTCATTGTATGTCTGTAGCTTATTTTGTCTGCCTATAAATATGGAATAACACTTGACTAAAACGGAGTTGGCTTCCCAGCCATCTTCCCTGTGCGTCATTTTGCTTGGCTCTGTTTCATTCACTTCATATGCAAAATATATGTATTCAAATACCATTCTCGTTAATTGACTTATTTAATTCCGTTATGGACTAACGCGATCTAAGTGGACGATGATAAACGAGAATAGGTGATAACAAACATTCATACAATCTAAATGGAGTCAGATTCACGGGCCACTAAAATACCCCCAATTAAAAAACAGTGAATTATCACCCGGACCAATGACGCATAAAACAATTTCGAGCAGTCAAGAACCCTTATCGATTCTGCTTCCTGCCTAGCCCGGCTTGTTAAGTCCAAAACACCGATCTCAAGAACGGTATGTCGTATAACAATAGTCCATGGGTCAAAATAAAGCTTATGATAAGATAAACATAAATATGGACAGTTAAGTTATTTGAAGATTATACGATATAAATATACGTATAGTATTGGTCAATTAATGGATTTAAAATGTTACCATTCATTATACTCATGGAAATATAATATTTCCAAACGAGTCATGCAACTGCACACTGGGACACTCATTTACTTGTTACACGGTATTTCCTAATATCTTCCATATCTCATCAATCTGTTTCCGCTTTGTCATTTTTTTATGCGCTCGTGCACTCATTTCATTTGCTACACATATACTTAGTCACTGTTTTTCATTTTCACATAACTTCTATGTTTTTGTGTATATTTAATCTTAAGCAACGTGTTTGTTCAAATTTGTGCATGCTGGTCATTATGGACCGAAATGACCATCTGTCTCTCACGTCTATGTAGTCGAGTGTTCGGCAGATTTTGATGTTCACAAACATGTATCCGGATAACGGTATCTTGACCTGTTTCACAGAATTCATTTCACCCATGATTATGAACACTTGTTTATTCAACTTCGTTCTCCAGGTGTATCTGGTATACCGGACAGTTACCATCTCAACACCGATACACTATACTACAAATATTAGGTATCAATTTACAACCTCGTAATTAAACAGCTTGGCTAACATCTACTCTCCTCTTTTCGAATTTAGTTCCACATAATTAGTCGGCATATTTGCTTTCCCAATTACCCAGTCTGTCTTTCAACTAACCGCACACATCTATCCACCATTGAACAACACATGTACAACTTCACAGACACACAACTGATAAATCTGCCTCTGGATTTCCCCTCTGTGTGTGAGCATGAACGGCAAACCACCCTCAGATACACACTTGTTCACACGTTCAGGACCTGTCTGTCATTGTCGAAATCTAACTCACACTTATCCGACAGTCGCTCCTGTCAACGATTTACTCCATACTATCAATAATCTACAAACACGCTCTCACACTCTCACAGTTCGCCGTCTCTCCAACACGTTTGAACAAACATTCGCTTACTTAATCTGCATCATCATCACCAGCATCATTCTGCTTCCATGTTATTAAAACGTATTTCTACATCAAGCCCTACGTCTCACTCTCTACTTCTCTTCACATTATTGTTGACGTACATTTCGCACGATCTGGAAAACGTTGACAAGCACATTTGCATACAGAGCTTGAATGATAAGTCCCGTTGTTCACTTATATTAGTAAAATGCCACGGCAACATAATCCAGTCAAATTTATTTTCCGTGTTGTCAATCCAAATATAAGATGTACATCGTGTTCAATCGATTGAATGTAAATTTCCATTCTTTGTGGTGGTCTAAATGTACTTCTGTGAGATCCTCTGAATAGTTTCTTATGTGCTTAATAACCACATCACGACCCACTTGTCCTTCTGTTAACAAGATTTTGTAGCACGAACTTTAATTAAATTATACAAAATACCAAGAACACTGAAAGTGAGATCAAATTTGGTGCTAATATATTCCGCGAACAGTATCATGGTCATCATTTAACCGGAAAGACTTGATCCAGATCTCATTTTCGGAGCCACAAATCAAAAATAATGATTCATGCACAATGTATTGCATACACGTATTGTTTCAATAAATATCTTTTCCCAAGTTTGTTGTTTTATGTCGGAACTTGAGGATATGTGAAAAGCTGTTTGTTTTACTCACTTTCAGCTCCAGCCTTCGAAGTGAAAGGATTGTTGTATAAGGATCAAGGAGCGAGACCACACATATGGACTGATGATTTGCTGAATCCACTGACTGAAATCTATCAAAACCTGTCACAATCATTCTGTCGATTAGTAAGTTTAACCGTTATCAGTATTCATTCCAATCTTTATGCATTTAAGATAAGATTTTAGTCACTTAATCTCTTCACACTCCCACTCTCCAAAAATTGTATCACACCTCATGGAAAAAACCGTCAACCTATATCTCAGTATGTGTGTAGTGGAGAGTGGAGAAAAGAAAATGTAGTGACCAATTTGTCTCACTTCAATAATAATTCTAACATATTGAACATCTCCCATCGAACAGATTCTTCACTATGTTCTAACACAATTCTGTGTACGTAAGCATTATATCAACTGGTCAGTTATTACTCTGTTTCGTCTGTTTAAATACAACAGTCAGTGGACCATAAACTGAACACTCGGTCATGTAGAAGATGAGACGACTGGGAACTTGTTTACATCCACAATAGAACCAAATCGACATTTGGACATTTGGAATAATAGCTCGTATTGCTTATCATTCGACTCACATACTGACAACTGGTAGAGTGTTGTTGTCCGTCATCATGGTTGTTTTCATCCACTGACTTGAAAGCCATCTCCACAAACTGGTATGCCTTTGAAGAATTATCATATTCATCTCAACATTTATTATGAGTGCCTGCGTTTGTCATGACTGCTTCGCATATCAATGCTAAAGTAATTTTATTTCAAGCCGTCAAGAAGGGCGCGGAATATTCTCAATCAATTATGAAGTATAGAAACCGAGACTGAGAGTGAACAACTATCAAATAATTAAAGATATGTTCACTGTTGCGTACAGCGAAGCTACTACAGTCGTATAAGATACAAAATAACAAGACTAATCACAATTCTCTTTTTCCCCACTCATCAATGACCAGGTTTTAGATAGTTTACGTTTGGGCAATCCAGATATTGCAAAAGATGCAAAATGTCACAAGGTTGTTTTCACACCAGTCACTATATTCTATTATCAAAAACGCCAAGTCGATGCAACAGGGAACTCTAGTGAAAACTCTACTCAAGGTGTACAGGCGAGTTCAGAAATACAACTCGTGTCACCCAATGCAACAGAACTTAATCAGACGGAATTCAACAACATTCTCGTTACAGGGTACAGTCAAGTGAATTCAAGCAGTGAATTGCACTTATCCAATGTAGAAACTAACGGTAAGTCAAGTGATTTGATTGTCTCGAGTTCGTGCTTTTGTATATCGTGTCCGGTTTCGTTTGTTAATAAAAGACGAGAGGGAAACATACGAACACACGACAAATTGATTTGTGAACATAGAACCAGTTAAATTGCGCTAATGATAATCGCGAACACTTATCTTATCGGATGAAAACGGTAAGTGAAGAGACGCCGAGCAATTAAGAATACAAGTTGGAGTTTTAGTAGATGGAGAGAAATAGAGATAAGCAAATGAGGTGACTCGTACAAGAGAAACATAAATCTCAACAGCATATTGACAACGTCCTCCACCAAGTGTTCATCAGTCTTCATGACTGTATACTGTCAATTGAAGAATTAATACTGGAAAACGTCTATACTGACAGTATGATTTAAGTGAAACAATTAAGGGATTTTCATCATGAGTTATGTAGACAATCAATGTTTTAGTTAGAATACAAAAACAAGATTGATGGACAATATCTGTTATAAGAGCCAGTTCAGTCGTAGCCTATTGATACTCAAATACATATTATTATGATGAGTAGACTGTATCACAGAACACAATAATAAATAAGTATTATGCTAAACTATTACATTATGAGCCTTCATGTGTCTGCGGTTATGTGGAGAAGTCAACAAAATGGATTGCGATGGACAAAGCATGAATATGTGAGAATATATGTTCTCTATCATCCAACACTCCAAATACGTATTTTACATAGTTCATTTTCTTTAGAAAATTGCTTGTCGACTAACGTCATGTTACCCAGTAATAGCTCACTCACTCACTCATCGACAAAATTAATCTTCTCTTACATTTCTATAGTTGTTATACCCGACTCTACAACAATGGTCCAACTCACACAGACCAGTATACAAACTCAGTTTGAAGAGTTCACCACCAACCAACACGTCAACACCACTGAATCACAAATCTCAACAGAATTATACAACTTCTCATCATTAGGTGAGTCCTTCATTTCTTCATTATAGTGCACCGTTATACATTCATTACAAGGTTCATGAGTAAGATAATCGATTCAGAAAATATACAAAAAAAAATATGAAGAGGACAAATCACTCGAAATAGGTTATATCTATAAAGGAAATCGAAGAAGATAACAGATACAGCAATAAAGCGAAAAACGCATGTGTTACGTATTACAGAAAAATATGTCATTATCAAAACGCAATACACTTACAATCTACACATATATTTCACACTACTCCTTCTCAACAGGTGTCCATTCCGATTCCACATCCATTCCACCAGTCACCGACATCACTCATTCAACTCAGTCTGACCAAACCACATCCACGTCACACTTGATCGACACCACGCCAACAATCTCCACTACAGCATTCCAGTCGACAGAATCAACCACACTGCAAACACCAGTCTCAACTCCAGTGTCAGTGTCAGTGTCAGTGTCAACATCACAGCACACACCAGAGTCCACATCACAGCCATCACCACAGTCTACACTAATGCAAACAGGTACGTATCCGATTTTCATTGGAACAACACTCAGCATTACATACTAAATCACAACATAAATAACCACGCAAAACAATATATAATCCTCCAAAGCCAAAGTCAATATGAAATATCCAATAAAAATATCAGAAAAAATTTCTTCTGAAAATAATCAACCGCAAAAAACCAGCAAAGACAGCAAAGGAAATCCCAATGCACACGAAAAAAACAAAGCACATTAGCCAAAAAATTTAATTAATAAATTCAACAGACTAAACGCTGAAGAGTGCTCCACTGATCCACATGTGTTTGGAACGTGTGTGTCTGCAACACACCGATGAACGGACGCTGATCGTTTGTGTCGGTGTGGTTGCACGTTGTGCTTGAATTCTCAAGTAGGAGATGAGTGACGAGTGTTCCATGCAAATCGATGCGGTCAGATATGGATCGGTGAGCGGTGACTCTGTTTTGTGTTTGTGATAAATCTTGTTGACTGTTTGCTGTATTGGATTCCAGGCTATTACGTTAAGCGTTTATGTAGAACTACACAGCGACTTGAGCACCTGAGAGAAGGCACAAATTTGAAAGAAATGTTCATTTTTGTGCAGAAAATCATGGGTATTTATGAATGTAGGCGTCTGTTGAATCAACATTATATTTTCAACCAATCCGTTAACGACTTATTATGCTACCGACCAATAGTATGAGGCCACGTTGGAATCCTCGAATGTTCCATCATACACTAATTGGCTAGGACCTTCTCTCCTTCTGGGCCTCTGGAGGCCCCTTTGAACTTCTCCAGAAGCCGGCTCAACACCTTCCCCGAATAAGATTTCTTTCTGGGATGTACTTGTATTTTGACGACCATTTAGCAAAGGCGTCCCATTATTCTTATCGTTTTCCTTGTTCAAGGCATCTTTTCAGTGTTCCTGGGCATTTTTGTCATTGGTGCATCTAAGATTAATTCTGACGGGTAGTTCGGCCGGTTACTTCGAGTCTGCACCGTTCTTTTGTCCTGAAAGAATTTGATTTGCGTGTCGTTTACATGTCCCAAAAGCTCCTCGAACTCTGTACAGAACTCTTCCCAGTTTTTGCACAACTTCTCCCGACTCCCATCGGGAGTCTCCAACATTGAAGTTCCGGATAGTTGGATCGTGACTGCGCCCATTCACTAATTTGGATGGCAACATGGCATCGAAGACGGTTTGAATACGCCTTCCGAACATGGCTTCCGCAGGGGACTTGCCGTCTGGAACATTCGGGTTCGGAGTGGATCTGTAGGGTGTCAAAAATTTCGTGATCACCTTCCCTGTCGTCCCTTCGCCTCCCCCTTTCAGTAGTGCTCTTTTCAGTGAATCCACGAAGCGCTCTGCCTGGCCATTTGATTGAGGGTGGTACGGTGGAGATCGTATGTGTGCAATCCCATTAACGTTGCAGAAGTGCTTGAATGATTCTGCAGTGAATTGTGAGCCGTTATCGATCACTAAAGTCTGCGGAACTCCAAAGCAGCTAAACAGGTCGGATAACTTGCTGATTGTTTCACTGGCTGTGCAATTCACCATGACGTAGATTTGTGGCCATTTTGTGAGCGCGTCTACTATGACTAGATACATTCCTCCTCGTATTGCACCGGCGAAGTCTGCATGCAGCCTCTCCCAGGGACTATTCGGCTTTTCCCATTGTTGCGGTTCACACTTGCTTGGACTTTTGGCTGCTTGCAGGCATGATGAACAATTGCGGCACCTGGTTTCGATATCTTGATCCATCGTAAGCCAGTATGCGTAGCTTCGAGCCAGCGCTTTCATCTTATTGATATCAGGATGACCGCTGTGGAATTATCTCAGAACCTTGTAGCGTAATACTTTTGGAACAATAATTCTGTCACCAAACATAATACATGAGTCGACCATCATGAGAGCCCCGTCGGCGAAAATATTGAAAACGACGGTTCGGCCACTTGGTGAGAAGATAACTACTAACTTCTCTTAAAGTCTTGTCACTTTTCGTGGCTTCTTTGATGGCCTTGAAAGTAAATGGTAAACCATCGACTGCGTCTTCCAATACTCGATGTACTTCTGTTTCCGTCTGGATTGCTGCCACCAAAGTGTCTTCTTCCTGTTTTACATGTCAGCCGATCAGTCTAGATAAAGCGTCAGCTTGTCCAAAATCGGTAGTGGGCTAATACTTGATTTTGATGTCATAACCCAAGAGTGTAGTTCCCCAACGTTGCAGTCTATTTGCCGTGTATACAGCTATACCTTTCTTTGACCCAGGAACTGCAAGTAGTGGCTTATGGTCTGTTATTAGGGTAAAATGTCGACCATATATTATCTTGTGGAACTTTTTCACTGTAAAAATAATTGATAGGGCTTCTTCCTCAATCTGATTATAGTTCCTTTCGGTCGTTGTCAAAGATCTGGCAGCGTGTGCGATAGCTTTTTCAGACTCATCAGGAAAAATGTGAGAGATAACTGCGCCCACACCATAGTTAGAAGCATCTGAAGCAACGACTATAGGCAGCGAAGGATCATAATGCGTCAATAAGAGATTGGAAGTCAGGAGTTGCTTGATTTTCTGGTCGTCTTCCGTCTTTATCTATAATGAACCCAAGGTACCGTACTTGCTGCATATAGAAGTCACACTTCTCCACTCGGAGGCAAAAACCATAATCAGCTATGCGTTCTAGTACCTGGTCCAGTTTCTTCTGCAGGTCCATTTTATCTACTGCCATAATTATGATGTCGTCTAAGTAAGCTGCTGCCCCTGGAATACCTTGTAACATGGCATCCATAATGTGCTGGAAAATAGAGGGCGCTGTCTTCATCCCAAAAGGTAGTCGGTTATACCGGAACAGACCTTTTGTGTGTTGATCGTTAAGAGATCTTTGCTTTCATCAGATACAGGGATTTGTAAGTATGCGTCTGATAAGGCCAATTTCGCAAAATATCTGCCACCGTTCAGCTTAGCGAAAAGATCTTCCGGTAAGGGCAACGGATACTGGTGGGACTCTAGAGCTTCATTTAATCCCGTGGAGTAGTCCGCACATAGACGGACACTTTCATTCGACTTCTTGACCACCACTATTGGTGCAGCCCAATTCGAGAAGTTTGCAGGCTTGATAACACCCATTTGCTGAAGTCGTTGTAACTCTTGTTCAACTATTGGAAGAGCAGCATAGGGTACAGGTCTTTTAGGTCGAAAAACGGGAGTAGCTGCAGGTTTTAGGGTTAACACTGCTTTGGCCTTCGTACATTCCCCCAATCCTTCTCTAAACACGTTTTGGTGTCTTTGTAGCATGGCATTTTTCTGGCTCCACTCTGAGGTGTTGTCAGTACTGACTCTTCTGCAGATACTGTTAATAGAATAGTCTGCTAGTGTAAGTGTTTCTATAAGATCTAACCCCATTAAGTCGGGTGCTGGCTTCTTTGTAAGATATACTGTTGCATTTGTTGTTACAGTACCTTTAGAAACAGTGCATGGCACTTCTCCAACATTATTTAACTTCCCCCCAGATGCACTGTGTGCCAGTTGTGTTGTTGGGAAAACTGTGGGTCTTCCAATGTTCTTCTATGTTTCTGGGCTGATTAGAGTAATATCAGAAGCTGTATAAAGCTGAAGGCGAGTACGGTGTTTATTAATATTCAAGGTTACGTACTTCCATTGGCGGCAACTTCGTGCTTTGTTATGTGATACCAATATTCTGTTTGTTGGAGCACTATATCTGTATGTCTTTGAGTAAAGTTTCAAGGAATGCTGTTTATAGTTTCTTCTCCTGCGGAGGTTTTCTTTATGCCCCTTCCGATGACATTTGCTGCAACGATGTTCTTTATATGGGCAAAACCGTTTATAGTGCCAACCTCAACATGTCCAGCATGGAGATGATGGTGTGTCGCTGTTATTACGATAATTATGCGTGCTGGAACCTTGAAAGACTTTTTTCTTGACTGCATTGACGTTATGGAAACAGTTACCGTTTTCTACCATTGAGGTATCATGCTTCAAGTTTACTAACCTTTGATACTCGGTAGTCACTTCCTGTAGGGTCATGTTAGGGCAGTGTTCGAGTTTGCTTAGGATTCTGGTTCGGATATCGGCATCCTCGGGTGAACGCAGGCTACAGATGAATACTAAGCATTTAAACTGATCTTCAGACATGGACGACAATCTGAATCTCTCACATTCTCGGTTCAGAGTTCCTGCATGCTTCACCCAGTCATCTCCTGGTTCTTTCGTTAAATTTAAGCACTTTTAACGGATATTGAATAGAGATGATTGTTCTCCGAAGATTTAGGACAGGGTGTTGACTGTATCATCAAAACTAAAATCTCGTGGATTTTTCGGAAGAATGAAGTCGCTATAGCGTTCATGTTCCATAGTCCCAAGTTTTGTAAGAAGTATTCTGACTTTTGAAGCATCATCCAGTTTGCAAAGATCAGTATAAAACAAATCTTCATACTTCTTAAACCACGACTCGAAAGTTACACCTGCTACACCATCAAAATCAAATTCATGGATG